ACTGGGATGTTTTGGGGTAGCGCGTTCCAAGGTTGAGCAGTGGAGTGTTCAGTGCACGTGTGAGATAACATTTGCAGGTGTAAATCTTGTCAGTGTTTTTATATGAAGATTTCACATCTGATACTATTTCAGGAGTCTCAGAATAGTGATAATTACTGTCCATAGAACGTCGCTGAAGGCTTTGGGAAGCATATGAATGTTAGATTTTGTTCTTTTATGATGTGCTCCAGCATCTACCTTTTTCTACTCATAGTGTTCCTAATCTTGTTAGCGGCGAGGCTGTGAATGCTAACAGCTTCCCTGTTTCTCGTGGTGGGCTGGGCAGCTGTGTTGCCTTGGTTTGGCGCTGTCATTTTCACTGTGCTGCCTGTCAAAGTTCTGCGCAGGAGTGAAATCTGAGGACTGGTCTGCAGATTTAAGCAGATGTATGAACCTGTCATGAGGAAGAAACAGGAGTTTATGAAGGACTAACTGAAGAGATAAGGAGCTAAAAAGCATTTGAAATTTAATAGGTACCTTTCCTGTTTTTTCTGCATAACTCAAGACCACAGAACTTAATCCATTTGTTTCTGTACTGAGTCTACTACCTTGTGTTTGACTGAAGGTTGCTTTCAGGCAAGGCATCCAGTCTTGATCTGAAGACATCAAGAGGTGTCAGAACCATGGCTTTGCTAGGGAGGTTGTTTCAACTTTTTTCATGATCTTCAGCATTAGTAGTTCTGTCAACCTGTCCAACCAAAAGTTATACAATATCCCACTCTTCAGACCATACCTTTGTAACATTAAGCCTGAACTCATGTTAGCGATTTTTTTGTATGTTGAACAAACGTTTAGGGGTTTTGCTTGACTACCACCATGCTCTCGTAAATCCAACTGATCATTCAGTGCTGGTCTGGTGAATCTTGTAACTTTCTGCAGCTTCAGAGCATTAATTTCAATCTTAAAACTTCTTTCAGTATAGTACATCTATACTGAGCTCTAAAGTGTGAGCAGTTGTTGCTTGCGATGAAGATATAGTTGAAGAAATGCATACTGAAATTATCTGATAGTTTAAAAGGGGTAGGCTTTGGGAAGTGCGGAGTTTAGAGAAGCTGTTTCCATTGCTTGAAATAAACTTTTAAACTTTTACAGGGATGGATGGTGCTTTCAGTGGGTTCAGCTTACAAGGTGCATCTCTCTGAAAATAGCTGTCTGGCTTCCCCCCCCCACCCTGTAATTATTTTCTGTTTCCTTCTCCAGCACACAGTTGCAAAGGTCCTTTGCGTGAATGAAGATAGTTGGCTCTGGTTTACTTTGGAATGTGTGTGTGCTATTGCTTGGTTAACTGCAAGCTTAAATGTAGAGCAGGATTTTTTCCCCCGTCTTTACCCAGTGTTTGTGGTGAAATGGGCTGTATGTGTGATGTTCAGAGATCTGAGAGTGTATTTGTGTCTCCAGCATGATAGGTTATTTCAATTGCATTGGACCAGTACATTTTTTGGCATGTGTAAAGTGAATTTTTGTACTTTTGAATAAAGCTACATTTAATGGAATCTGCAGTGAGGAAAGGAGTGCGTTCTCATCAAGTCTCAAATAGTTAGCAATGAAAGGATATAATTGCAAAAAAAACCCCTTAAGTTTTTCAGGGTTTTAATATGTCAGGAGAGCCTTGCCAAGCAACATGGATTTTTTGCACGCTTGCTTGAAAGGATCATCACATTCAGTTTCCCAGCAGGTTAAAACGAAAAGGTGTGTGTTGGAGGTTTGTGTCTATCGCCTTTGTATTTTGCAGCTTGGAGATAGCACCAGGTTTGGGAACAGCTGAGCATTGCAAGTCTCCTATGTTCAGGAAGGACTGAGTTTAACAAACTTTTCCATCTTGATTCTTTTAGGTTAAAAGGAGAGGAGAAGAAATAGGAGTCCTACAAGCAGATTCAGTAGTATGCAGAATAGCATTTAAGCTTTGGCATCACTTTAAATATTGGCAGAACTATTGAGTATCTGTGTATGTGCAAGGCATGTGATACATATGTCTGGTATTTCTTTACATGCTTTTCCAAATCAGGTTGGGGGAGCCTTTGTTTCCATGTTGGTTTGCTAAATGCATGGAATGGCACTACAAAGTTTACATGCTCAATGTTGTTTTGTAACAGTGAAGACAAGAAAAACTTGAGTTTTGACAAATTTGAATGTATGAATATAGATATATTTCCCCAAAAGTACTTCTGCGGGCCAAAGTTTTGAACCCTGAAACTGCCTATGTACAAATACGGAAAATATTTGAATTACTGAAAGAAGAAATAAATAAGTGAGGAATTTTACATGGAGGAGAAAATCTCCCATTAATGCCCTTGTACGAAAACAAAGACAACATACTGAAGTAGAAAAAAATGCTGTCAAGGGTATTTTATGCAATACTTTTAATGCAGTCATATAAATAATATATGGAATAAGTCACTATTGAGGATGGGAACATCTCAAGCATTAGACACATGAGTAGGAAGAATTATCTGTGGTTCTGTTACATACAGCTGTGAGGGAGGACATAAACCTTTGTTCTTCAGGGCACAAACAACCTACTTGGCAGAACTATTTGTTTATTTTTCTGAATCATCTAGTAGTGAATGAGATAAACCATTGATCTGGTCTGTCATGGTAGTTCCTATATTATAAAATACTTTTTGCCTTTGCCCCTGATTTATTGTGTAACACTTAGGAATACCATTATGTATAATTAATCTAATGAAGCAAGAAACAGTTTTGCCATAAGGTTATTCATCCTATTGCAAACATATAAAAAACCCGAAACAACAAATCTGATGCTCTCCCTTGATAAGGTATCTTCTTGTAATATTTTGCTTTCTTTCTGTTATTTGCAGAGTCCTGAAGCAAATTAGTCTCTTTCACTCAGAGGATATTTATATATTTAAAGTGTTGTTGATAATTCAGACATGTTAATTAATGTGAAGCCTGACAGATCCAGGATGTATGTTCTGAAATTTCTGTAGTGGTGTTTCTGAGGTCTGGAGTAATACACCAAAACTGTTTCCTTCCAGCTTTGCTTTTGCTACGTGGGCAAAAATCCTTCTCATGTTCTCTGTGTTTTATTACCCCCTGCCCCGCCTCCCCAGTTGAGTCCTTTAAATGAGCCTGTCTGATTTGAAGTGTTATGATCAATGTTTCATCTGTTTTCAGTCTTTTGCTTCCCTATGGATGGCCTGTTGTGATTTCAAGCTGGAGTCCTCATTTTCTTTTCATATCTTCTGAGGAAGTCTCATTACTTGGCTACCATTTCACTAAATCCTTCTCATTTGCAGACATGGTATCATCTGACTCTCTGGCCTCTTTATAAGTCCTGTTTAGTCTTTATAAACAGTCGTGTCTGTTCATTCCCCTCCATTTTTATTTCTTTATGCTTGACTGTATCTGGGCTACAGCTAGTATAGAGAGAACAATCCTATAGTAATCCACTCTTTGTTTCTTTTTCTCAGACCATTACAAATATTTCTTGCTTGTAAAATTTTTTCCCCTCTTCTGGCTCGCTCTCTAGGCACATCAGTTTAAGTTTTTCCCTGTAAGACCTAAGGCTACATGAGGATAAATGTCTGCCTTTAGCTTTCTCACCTTTTCTCCCTGTGTTCCATCCAGTTTTGTCTCTAGTTTTGCTCATTTCTTTGTGGGGTCTTACCCGTGACTTTTTTACTTGCCCGCTTTCTTGAAAGCTTTTTTCATGAAGCAAGTGTGAAATCAACATCTGTTATAAATTACTTTATTTTGTCAAAGTTTGAAGTCCCAAAGAGTTTTGCTCTGGCCAGCTTATTCAAGCCACTGATGCTTATTTAACAGAGTACAAGATTGGCTTTGTGTTCTGTGTAGAGCTGTGGGACTTCGCGTAAGTGCTGGAGATCCGTATGTTATTGCATTGTCATGGATGTCTGTCCTGGTACCCTAATGCTTTATCTTTCTGTGAACTTACATAGACTGGAAAAAAATGAGGAATGTGCCTTGGCAAAGTTGTCTCTTGCTTCGCAGATGCCCTGTTATAACTAACTGTCTGCTCTCATGGTCTTGAAAACGCGCTCTGGAAAAGCGTCTTCCTTTTGACAAAGTAACTGTATTTGTCTGCATGCACAAAACAAAGATCTGAAAGAGTTTCTTGCATCTTGTCCTGGTTTTGGCTAGGATAGAGTTAATTTTGTTCATAGTAGCTAGTATGGGGCTGTGTTTTGGATTTGTGCTGGAAACAGTGTTGATAACACAGGGGTGTTTGAGTTGTTGCTGAGCAGTGCTTACACAGGGTCAAGGCCTTTTCTGCCTCTCACCCCACCCCACCAGTGAGCAGGCTGGGGGGGGCACAAGAAGCTGGGAGGGGACACAGCCAGGACAGCTGACCCCAACTGACCCAAGGGATATCCCACACCATATGGCGTCGTGCTCAGCATATAAAGCTGGGGAAGAAGAAGGAAGGGGGGGACATTCGGAGTGATGGTGTTTGTCTTCCCAAGTAACCGTTACGGGTGATGGAGCCCTGCTTTCCTGGAGATGGCTGAACACCTGCCTGCCGATGGGAAGGAGTGGGTGAATTCCTTGTT